ACTACTACTACTACTGCTACGGTTGCTACCTCCTATTGTTCCTGCCACGACTTCTGCTCCTGCTACTCCTTGTCGTAGTCGTAGTAGTAGCAGTAGCAGTAGCAGTAGCAGTAGCAGTAGCAGTAGCAGTAGCAGTAGTAGTAGTAGTAGTAGTAGTAGTAGTAGTAGTAGTACAGTAGTCGCTAGTAGTGGTACTAGTAGTAGTGCTACTGCTACTGCTACTGCTACTGCGACTGCTACTCCTATTCCTACTCCTTCTCCTATTGCTACTACTACCACTACTACTACTACCACGACTACTACGACTACTGTCACTGGTTCAGCATAGATCCCTGCTATCCGTTTTTCCAACTGCTTTCGCTTCGCTGGCGTCTTCCGCGATTCCGACTCTCTTAAAGGTCGGGGAGCGTGGGAGAAGAAAAGCTTCGGTTCGAGGTTTATACCAAAATGGCAACAAAATGTATCAAATTCGAAGTAGTCTACTCATGTTAATGCCCAAATCTGGCCTTGGCCGGACATTCGCGTTGGTCTGAACAAGTCGCACGCAATGCGCAACATGAGAGTTCACCGAGAAACTGTGAGATACTTGCCCATGTTGCAATTGTGCAAGCTTTGTCCAAGCTGGGGTCAAACGATTAATGTCAGCGCTTTGTGTCCAAAGTACATTCGAGTTGAATCGCCAATCGATCAAGAGGCCAAGATGGCTCGTGGGTGGTACAACATCACCATTGCCATACGGTGACAGCAAAATTAAACTGGAACATCGTGGAGTTGAGCCAGTGCAGCTGGCCCCCGCTACCACCCCTTACAAGTCTCCGCTGGATCCTGAACTACTCGAAGGTTGGGTGGAAAGAGCGGGGGACCCAGAGAAGCAGTCGATCGGTGACTGATGCAAGCACAGAGTTGTCACTTCGCACACACGTGTGCTACACTACTAACTACTACCACTACTGCTGCTGCTTCTGCTACTGTATAAAACTATTTTACGGGTCTCGGCTGGAGCCTTGCTGGGGTTCTGAAGAGCGTCAGGGCTCAGGGTCGGCCCCAGGGAGGCAAAACCATGAAAGGCAAGCACACTGGATGAATTTATTTCATACACAGCTGAACTTCAAGTGCGAGAGTCTTCGAAGCTAGGACATTTTACAAGTAGCCTCTGCTCGGCTTTGACTTCAAGACTGCTATGCGGCACGCCAGCCCTCATTCCAACTCGGGCCGCAGGCTAAAGCACAGTACGGCATGCAACTGTCCATGCAGCATCATCCACACTCCTCCTTACCTTTCACTTTCAATGAAGAAGTACCCTGGACAGTACTTGAAAGCATCACGAAAAAATTGGTAGGGCCTTTTGCCAGTTTGATCATTCAGGAAAATCCTGAGCTCAAGCCAATTCCCAAATCTCAATGTACTCAGAGATACGAGCACGGTCATTGACATTTACTGTATTCCAGTTAAGCCTCACACGTCCACTGACGTCGTTCTGACGAAACAGCCGTAGCACGTACTTCACTTGCCGGACGGTGGGCAACGAGTGCGTGTGGTCATCTCCCAGCATCGTAAGCACTTGACCAAGCCTTTTAGCAAGATCGCTCTTCACACCAGTTACCGGCAAGTCCTCGACTCGAAGCCCCGCTTTCAAGTCCTCAACTGCGAGAAGAAGTAACAATATCTGAGTCCTTTCGTTCTGGTTCTCGGACCTCATGTTCTCTCGTGAAGACCTTTGCGTCGAGGGTGGCGGCTGCGTAAAGTTTGAAACTCTTCTTGAAATCACGGGGGACGTAGATCGCTCAACCCTCGAACTTGCAGATCGTGCGGTAGAACTCGACGCTGGATTTTGCAGCAACGCTGTGGGGCTGTCCGGTGCACGCTGTACCCGAGGGCTTTGTTCAAGAACTGACCGTGGACGAAGCTCAACCTCGGCCGCTCGCCTCGCCAAGTTCTCTTCATGTGAGCGGGCTTCACGCTTCGCCACCTTTGCAGCGATAGCACCCACATTCTCAACCGTGCGATCCGTCCTCAACTTGTTGACCTCCCGTGCTACCTTGCACTCAACCAATTTGACAACCTCCCATCCACGAGCCAAAATAACAGCTCATCCCAATCGCATCGTTTCCAAGACTCCTTCCCCTCAGGCTGAGCCCTCGTAGGACAAATGCGGGATGTGAGCGTCGCAATCAGCATAATGGCGTTCAGCTGGAATGCCTTCACAGCACAGGTTCCGACAAAGCCCCATAGCCGAAGTAGTTGCTGAAGCCGAAGACGAGGCTGTAGCTTCGTGGCAAGATCGGCCAGTTGGTCACGTCGTGGCAGATCTGAAGCCTGCCCTCCTGCACTGATTCCCGAACGTAAAGTGCTCGGATCTTGAGGTGATGGGTCGGCTGGGACCCCGGTCCTCCAGCCAGCATAGCTCCCGTGCTTGTGTCGTCGGCCGCAAGCGTCTTCTTGTAGAGACCTGAGCAAATCTCCTCGACAAGAACCAGAATCACCTCGAGAAGAAAACAACCTTGCGTGGTTGCGTAGGGTTCAGCCTCCATGACTGAAAAGGTAGTAAACGACTGCCGACTGTCATTCCAAGCTACTGGGGAGCGGTTGATTGCACTTTCCAAACGGCGCACACCCGCCAAGTACGCTAGCAGCCGCTGAGCCACTCGATGCACATGGTTGGGGCGGCGGCGGCTGATGAACGTGCTCATGTGGTTCACGATGAAGAGGATATCAGGCTGCCTCTTGACGGCCAACGAAAAGGCCTCTCCAACACATTTTTGCGCTCGGCGCAAATCCTCTTCTTCGTATTCCGCAGTCTCCTCGTGTGTTTCCGTCTTCTCGATCCATTCACGAGAAGCAGGAGTTGAATATTGTACACTTCCTGCAGGTCGTAGGCTCGCAATAGCTCCTCAACTCCAGCACTCCGTTGCACTCCGAGGGGATCTTCAAGAAACCGTCCTCGTTGGCGAGTAGGCGCCTTAAGGGTACTTCATGGTTGACCACAGTCTCCTGGGGCCTGAAACAAATTCAACTCCACCTTCAGCCTCCACCCTGACCACCCGCAGCAAGAACAGCAAACGGCCAACCATGTCACGAAGCTGCTGATTGCAATCCAGCAGGAGCTGTTGTCGTTCTTCATGCTGCTGCAGCCTTCTGTCGCAAGTAGAGCTGCACAATCCTGCCGTCGCGAAGGGAAGCATGCCAAGAGCGAATCGTCGTCAAACGAATCTGAATCACTGGAAACAATACACACAGGAGAGGAGCATCCAACATGCATGTCACGACGGCTGGTGAGGCGCACATCAGCTGACGTCCCAGGTGCACTCTTGTATGCGGTTTGGTCGTGACGAAAACCGTCTGCAGAAAGCCCTTCTGGCAGATCTTACGGAACTAAACTGGCGTCAAAGCTAAGTGCTAGTGGAAAGATTTCCCGATCATATGTCCTGACTTGGCCTGCCTCCTTTATCCCACATCGGTTACACTTGGTCACCTGTTTAACATGTTCAATCGGAAGACGACGACCCCTGTTGGACCCAGCCGCGGAAGTCGAGGATTGGGAAGAAGCACCAGAATGACGATCAAAATGTTGACGATCTCTACGAATGGCCTTCTGCAGATGTCTAGTTTCATTCCCAAGTTCTATGCCATCCTTGCTCAAGAACAGCCCGCACGTGCTGGCGCTGGTCCTCACTAACAGTCTTTTGTCAAGCTCCTAACTTTATCAAATCATCATCGTCGATGTCGAGGTCGGTCTCGAGCTCGGCCGTGGGACTTGATCGTTCAGCTGGAGCATCTGTCTTTCGAGAGATCTTGGCGGCGTTTGCGGAAACCTCACGCTCAGAGACGGCCGGCGTGCGATATTCAAGGATTGGTCGCTGCCTGTGAGCATGTGCACATTCTGCAATCCTTGCTCGTTGATCCCGACGCCTTCTTCAAACAAAACTTCCTTAACGTCAGCTGGATCACTCATCATTGCCGGAGTGAGTGATGCACATGCTGCTGAACACTCTTCTCCCCCTGCCTCGTATGCTCAAAGAGCGCCTCACGAATGAGACGAAGAGGCTGGCAAACCTGCTTCATGTCGAGCATATCCAGAATTTGCGAAGATAGTCTGGACTTCTAGTTCGGTCAACGAAGCGCACTTGAAGATTCTAAGTAAAAAATGTAAGATCTTCTCTGTTCTGCGCCACCGAGAAGAGGGCCACGAAAGCAGAGGGAAGGAAGCGTGCTGGCGCCTGCCTAACCGTTTTTCCCCTCCTAGTGGGTTATCGGACATGTAGCCACTCCAACAACCGTCGAAGCAACCCACTGACGTTGCGTGCGCTAAATGCTGACAACTGTTGATGCTGTTGTGAATTTCACGTGCAAAAGACGCAACATGCTGGCTGGCATACATCGTCCGGAGAAGGCCAATGGTAAAGTCGCAAGGCGCAGCTATGTGTGCAACCGCAATGTTCGCTATGTCTCACGATGCAGATGTGTAACTTATCAGAAAGTGCAACAGCTAGGCAGATGCGTGCGTAATAAGGCCATTTTTTGAAGTCACCCTACACCAAAGACGCCATGCTGCCAATTGCCCTTGCAACTGCGCATACTGCTGCTAGAAAGTGGCGCCGATCTTGCAGGGTCGAGACAACACGTATGCACTGCGCAAGAGCATTCTAAACATGCTGGACAAGGAACCCTCAGGGATGGATACAGAAAACCACGCACCTACATGCATGCTGTGACATCTGCTGAACTTCCTCCGACAATCCGTGGCCTGTCAAGACTGCGCGCCCCTGAGTTTGGAATGTCGCAGAATGTCACAAAGTCGCGACTTGGCTGAGAGGATCAGATACACACGTCACCCTCATGCTCCTCAGGCATGCATGATTCACAGGATTTGCGGATTCACTGGCGGTTGATAGCTCGCCGGAATGGCCTTGTAGCTCAAGCTGACGCTTTGCTGCGGTGCTGTTGTTTAAATGAGAACCTGGCCAGTGCAATGTCGTTGCCATGCCTGCTAACAGTCGCTCCTTGAGCGTCCACTCTGACGACGCCGTGCTATTGCTCCAAAGCTTCTTGGTCATGCCCAGAGCATCCTGCGAAAATGGGCGATGCTTAAAGTGGTGTTCTAAGGAGCCTCAGTGCTCATGCACTTAAGGTTCTGTGGCGGAAGGATGTAGTGATGGTCACAGCTTCGCAAAAGCCGGCATCTGTGGCAAATGACAGGGCGATGCGCGCACGACGAAAAGCCGGAAGATTTGAGCGCTTCTCTTGCAGTCCGTAGCATTCCGTTAATCCCATTTAGACACGAGCCTGGTAGTCCACCTCCAGCATCCCCACAGACGAGAAGAAGTTGAACCGAAGCTTGTATTGCTTCGTAACATCCAGGTAGGGGCTCTGCAGCACGAAAGCCTGCGGAGGAAGTATATGCAGTCACAGACTGCCTCTGACGACGGTGGTTGAAGAACCTTTTCACTGCTCGATTGGCCTTGGGCGACATTTACTGATGAGCTTTCCCACACAGAGCCCCCACCCGCCAGCGCCTGCCCTGGACGCTGGAGAACCTGCCCCGGCAGCGAAAGCAAACCTCTCCTTTCGAGTGTGCACGTCACGTCGGGCCTCTGCCCATGCATAGCCTAAGGTCTGCCCAGCACCGCGTCCGGGCCCTCCTGCGCTCAGCATGCTCAGCGAGAACCCCCAAAAGCGCCCTTAGAATCCCTGAGAGTCTGAAAGTTTTGTCAAGCGCAACTGGGGGCTCGCCTCAGCTCCTAGATTACACAGTTTTCCGGGAAGAACCTCTGGTACCGACAGTCCTGAATCTGCAGCTCCAGTGTGAACGCGCCACTTTGCCTGAATTGTCTCATTTCGTTGGCACTTTGCCGGCAAGACGCTGGAAAATCCCGTCCAAGTCCGCTTCTAATTGCGTCGGGCAACTTCTGCAGAGTCACCTACATCCCGCCAATCGCACAGATCCGCTTCAAAAGCGCATCTGAGTGTGACTGCGCGGACCAGCTTCTCCTTGCGATCCGCTTGACTTGGACGGCAGCTTGTGGTGAGGCAGACATGCAGCACTTCCGCTCTCGCGCTTAGCTTTCGCACTCCGTCCTTGCACTGGTACATGTCGTTGACCTGTGCAAGGTCACCTTCTGACAGGTATTCACGGTTGCCCAGGAGGCCCTCGGACTGACGAAACGGCAAAAAGAAGGGTTGAAAGTTAGAACACTAGTTCTAACTACATTTTCCCGCATGAGAGGCACCGCTACTGCAGGCTCAATGGGGTCGTAAGCGTCCGTCAGCGGGTAGTGCATGATGCTTTCCTGAGCGACACCATCACACTCCTCTGCACCATCGAGACGGCCTCACCTCGCTTGTTCGCTTGTCCACACGCCTCCTTCGTGTGTGATCTGGGGTGTTGCTGTGATTGGGTTTCTAGGCCGCAACCGCTGGGTCGTGGTGTGCCTCTGAGTCCATGCTCTCGGACATTCGTGGCGCTCGAGCAACTGTCATGTCTTTGCTTTACAATAGATGTCGCACCTGGGCCCGGTCCGAGCGGCATAGTCGTAAGGAGCGTAGCCGTGGAAGCCTCCGCACGAAGCTTGCTATGCTTGCTCTAAGGCCAAGCACGCACGGAGCAGTGCCAAGCCCTGAAGAGCCCTGAAGAAAGCTTCGGAAAGAGCCCGCATCCGCCGGTTGCGCCCTCAAGAAAAGTCCATGTCCATCACATATGTTAACTAATTTAGCGTGTGTAGCTGCGTTTAGCTGGTTTTAGATTCTGCCGCTGCATCTGCAAAAGATGTCACTTCAAGACCATTCCGTGGCTTTCAATCCTCCGACTTTCGCCCTTCCAAGCGTCTGTCGCCGACGCCCTGGTAGTTTGAACCAGTGTAGGTGTGCTGGTTGTGTGTGTACCTAAGACGTCTGGGCAACGGGCCAAGTCAGAACCCTAATTAAAGGCGGATGTCCTGAGCACTGGTTCCGACTTCCGACATGCAGACGTTCGACCGACCAAAACCTATTGTGGCCAGGTTTCTGAGACCTCCAGTTAGCCTCCTCAGAAGCACGGGCAATTGCCGCCGGAAAGGACGCTCAGCCCCACCACTATCTATTCAGTAGATTCAGTCGCTGCTCCACGCGGCAAGAAAATGCCTGGGCGATCAAACTACTAAGTCCGGCGCAATGTTGTGCCAATGCACCACGATGTGAGGCCCGTGGCCATGGAACTTCTGATAGGCGTCCGGGCGCTTCTGCCTGGATGCAAGACACCATGACCGACCCATGCCCTCAGCACATCCTACATGCTGCTTCCTTTCTTCGCTGGTGACCGAGCTGCTCGTGGTTCATGCCCAGGGCATGGCCGATTTCGTGGACCATGTTGCCCACATAGAAAAGGCTGTTGCACCAACCTGTCTGTCAAAACACAAGCAATTGGCCCAGTCGCTACATGTGTCTGCATGCACTTTTGTTTATTTCGGCAGTTTGGCTTGAGAAGGCTGCACAAGGAGTTATGTAAAACGAGAGATCTACAATAGCAGTGACAGCGGCCTTGCCTAGATTGATCCGGATGGCTCGAGGCTGCCCATTCCGATATCCGGGATAGCCCTGGCCCTGGCACCAGCATGCGTTTTCGTCGTAGACGCCAACCTGCAAAACAGCGAAGTTCGGGTCACGGGGTGGGAGACTTGTGACTCAGTGTCAGCTTCCGGCAAGGAGCTGTGCTTGCACTTCGACGTTGCGCTGCAATTCACGATAGGTCAGGCAAACTACGCAACTTTACATGGCTTGGTGAAGCTCCAACTTGCAGTTCATTTCGAATCATGGCAGATGTTCATGAAACTGCAAGCACCCAGAAGCAGCTGCTCTCAAACGACAGAAGTCATCGCTGCTCTGGTTTGTCCTCGGCTTACAGCCTTTGCCCCCGCAAGGCCAGTTGACCGAACCTCCACTAGGGGATTTTTTGTGTCGATTTGTTCAACGCCGTTGCACCGCTCAGAAACATCAAGCGAAGACAGTGGTGGAGGTCCGTGTTCTTGACCGGAACACCCGGGTTCCGAACATAACACGCGGGCATTACAGGATGCTGGACCAACCCGGATTCAAGCCTTGGGTTTGGGACTGTTGACTGTCGTTGGTGGATTTGAGCGGAGAGGTTTCAAGAAATGTCCAAGCCAGGGCAAGGCAAGGTGGATCACAGAAAGCGGGCCTGGATGTACGGCTTGCTGACGTGGATTTGCAAAACCTTGGAGCTCAGAGAGAGAACTGTCCAGCGACTGCTTCCCCTTCTCTCGGCCTCCTTCAGCACCACGCACGTTCCCTCATGCCAGCGGACAACAGCTGCTCGGAAAGCTTCCTGCCAGGCGCCCCGCTCCTAGATTTCTAAGCCTGTCTGTCTTCTCATTCTCTCCGTAGCGTCCCAATAGCAGGTCCAATCGCACGCAGCCTGAAATCTGCGTGCCTTTCGGGCATTGTCGACATCGTGATCAAACACATACGGCACGATGACATAGTCTGCCCAGATGTCATTGACACCTCGATGCAACCATGCATTCAGAGAGCAAGTCTGACAGTAGGATCGACCAAACTGCAGACGGCGCGAAGTGCTGTGGCAGGCACCAGCAGGCACTTCGTCTATGCGGTCCTGCAAACAGTGTGCCAGTGGATAGGTGACAATCGTGATACGTCGTTGCCAGTGCCAGAACCAGACGATCCAACACAGAAGCTCTTTATTCGGTTTTTAGCTGAGATATGTCCGCTCGGCGTTGGCATCATATTGGGGAAGTTGTTGAGTATTTGAGCACCTGATGAGTTGAGCCAGTCAGGAAAATTCTAGTCTAGAAAAGGAATCGCTTTGCTTTGCTTGAAACGATTCAACAGCAAGACACGGAAAATGTCTTGCTTACTTTTGGAATGCCAACCCACTTCGCCTTTTTGTGAGAACTTGACGGATTTTGCCGTTGAAGTGAAGTGTCTCATGTTGCTGCATGTCACCTATATCACCCCTGTCCTCCCAAGGTCCCCTACCAACGGCACAATTGTGAGGAAAGCCTCGGTTTTCTGGCAGGTTTGGGATATGAGGGAGCTTCAACCGTCTTTAGCCCAGCTTGCAGGCCGGGAGCAGGCGCGTGCCCAGGGCGGGTCGGAGCCGTCCCCTTCGTCCTGCCTCGAAAGAGCGCTTGACAACGGCTAACCTACCACCAACCTGCTTGCCCTGTGGTCTGGACTTCAACAAGCAGCCAGTCTGGTTTCCTTACCGCTGGATCATGCTCCAACGGGAGCTGGCTCCAGGCTTACCGTGGTGCACGGCCGAGTTGGGGCTAGGGCCACCTGCAGCCTGGCCTATTTCTCACCCAGTTCGTCTAGAAGTTTGCCAAGTGGCAGATCTCGCAACTGCCCCTGGTCTGAGGATTTCTCCAGGTGCTGCAGCGGTGGAGCCCCCATATCCTCCTGGGCATATTTACATCTTGTTGTTCCGCAACGAATGTTGGAGCAATGCTCTTACCACCTGATTACCCCTCCTCAGCTGCAGTCTGCTGATGCCCGGCAAAGACCTGGGCGTGTCACGCACGGGTCTAACAAAGCTGGCCTCGCACCACCTTGCCAGTTTTCGATACCTGTCGCTCATGACAGCGAACGTCAGTCAACCCAAGTTTGTCCGCAAAGAAGCGCTGTCCACATACTCAACATCGCCTGCCAAAGCCGTCACCATCCTCGCAGGTGACTCTGCACATCTTTGCACCTTTCTCAACATGAAGCAATCGAAATAGTGCCCACAGTGGGCTCGATCTGACCTGCTGAGGGTGTCCAGTCTGCTTGTCATCCTTGTCATCTCGACTCGAGCTAGTTCCATTATCCCCAAGCATACTGCTGATGAAAATTCATCCGAAACTTGGAAACCCTCTTCCAAGTAAGTTCAACCGGCCATCGGCAGGATTTGCTTAAAGCTTGTTTGAGATTTTGTCGAGCGTCGACGGTGGCAGACCTCCAGCCTCAAGGTGTCCAATGTAACGGTAGGCACGGAGCGGGCAGGTGCCTGAAGCCAGATGAATCGACGATTTCCAGGAATTAGGGAACATTTTGCGGAGCAGACCTGCCTCGCAACATCTTCGAGCTTGCACCAGCGCTTAAGAGGGCAGCCAAGTGGGGGTTTAGGGAGAGAGATGTCAGGTGTTCCGCAAAAGGTGATGTCAGGTGTTCTGCAAAAAGATGAGCAGGCTGAGCAGTGTCTATATTGCCTTTTGCTGCGCAGGCGATGTGCCTCTCCCGGGTTCGAAGTGCTCCAGAACAGCTACCTCAGTGTCATGCAGCCGGAGTAGCTCGAACGATCAATTGTGTCGGGTGCACACCTGGAATTGCAGCAGCGGATTCTCGTCTTTGCGGTGCCGGAGGTTACCTCACATGAGGCGCGAGCCCAGACAAACAGTGAGGCAACAGCACGCCTGCAACGGAGGGACGGAGCCAGCAACAAACCGATATGTCTGCTCGTGGCTAGCTGTAACGATACGTGTAACGGTCGCGCCAGGCACATGGACCATTTGGCCCCATCCCCTTGCTACATACCACAGCTGCTTCGGTGCGGTTTGCAGCGGTGACCCCGCAGCGGCATTCGCTCTCTTCGACCAGAGCGAAGATGTCCATGCCCTGCATGAAGCAGATTGTTCAAAGTTCATGTCGTGGTGTGTCTGCGAGGTACAGTACGCAAAGCAGCGTGTATAAACAATATGAGATATAAATATATGTATATATTTATGCTTATATATATATATATTTATAATCTTGTTTATATACTATGTATGTATGCATGTATGTATGTATCCGCGACAGGAGTTAGTGAGGGCACGGCTGAGTGTTTATGGTGATATATGTATATGTGCTTTATATGCAATCCTGATGACCACGCAAGGACTTTGCCAATGGGCATACGTGACGAGAATTCCCCAACCTTTGGGCGAGCATGTGCTAAAACACAGCATATCGATGCCGGGCAACACGCCTGTCCTCGCATTCGTTCGCTGAAGCACGCTCTTCTGCAACGTGGAAAACGAAAATGAAGTATGTATGTATGTATGTATGTATGTATGTATGTATGTATGTATGTACTTGTATATACGTATATAAAAAATATGTGTATCTATTTAAGTACATATAAATCTGTATATACATGTGTATATATATATATATGTGTGTACATATATATATATATATGGTACCCCTACAAGCAGCGTGGAGCACTTTCGGTTCCTGGCTGCTTTCGTTTCTGGTGTTGTCCCTATTGTTGAAACATGGAAACCATAGAAAACATTGGGTTTACAACTGTTTAGGAAAATAAATATGGAAATCATTGGTTTTTACCAAATGGTTCCTATGATTTCTGAACGATCTCTCTGGCGACCGCCGGCAGATAGATTGA